TTTTTTTTTTTAAAAAAAAAAAAAAAAAAAACAAAAAAAAAAAAACACGACTGTGGCGTGTGACTATTTTACGTAAATTATCGCGTATGTTTTGAGCGTTGCTTGACAAAAAAAATGGGTTTAAGTTTAATAAATAAAATATTCGCCGCGTTGACTGTTATATACTGTATTTACATATATACATGTATTTATGTGTGTATATATATATAGAAACATATATATACATATATACACATAAATACATGTAACTATATATAAATATATATTTACATATATACATGTATTTATGTGTGTATATATAGAAAAAATATATACACACATGTATACACAAATACATGTAAATCTATAAAATATATATTTACATATATACGTGTATTTGTGTGTATATACATATTTACATATATACACATAAATACATGTAATATATATAAATATATATTTACATATATACATGTATTTGTGTGTATATATATAGACACATATATACACATAAATACATGTAAATATATATAAATACATATTTACATATATACATGTATTTATGTGTGTATATATTTCTGTGTATGTATGTTTCTATATATATATACACACATAAATACATGTATATATGTAAACATATATTTATATATATTTACATGTATTTATGTGTATATATATGTTTCTATATATACAGACATAAATACATGTATATATGTAAATATATAAAAATATATATTTACATGTATTTATGTGTATATATATATATGTTTCTATATATATATATAAATACCATACTGCTACCGTACCAGTACTGTATGGTACAGGACAGATTGATTTACTTTGTCTCCGAGGCCATCCACTGTAATCATTAGACAATACAAATATAAAGAGAGAACAAATAGCGCGGAGTAAACAAAACCAAAGTTCAGCCTCTGGACCCCAGGGGTTTATAAACGGTGACATCGCGGCGTCCAGTCTGTGCTTCACTGTCGGGGGCGCTGACGAGAATACGGTAAGAAACTAAAACCACTCACTAATACTAACACATACTAGCACATTTTTCTCCTTTTTCTTAGTGGAATTTTAACAGAAAAAAAGTTTTCTTTAATCTGTAGAAAATATAATAAAACAATTGATTTAATTTGTTTAAAAGGGGTTCTCAACCTGAGGTAGTCACTACTGTCTATTAGAAGTTACCATTTAAGCCTAGTTTCAGGTAGTTTAATGACAGGTGTAGGTGCAATGGGTCGAGTG